TGCAGGAGGAAAGAATAGAGGGCTGTGTAAGATAGTGCAGTTCATAAAGGCAGTTGCCTCTCTCCTGCCTGTCACAATTAAAGCTAACCTGAGGCTCTGTGTGATCTCAGCTAATCCTGCAGCAAAAGGGCCTTTCATACTAAAATCATTATATCACACTCAGCTCCACACACTGCTGTTCAGGGAAGACATGTTCAGCCCTTTTCAAGGTTCTGCTTTGTCCCTTGGCACAAGGTGAGGCTTCAGTGACTCAGGAACCAACATCCTAATTTCAGCCTTCTGGTTCATCGCTGCCTAGAGCACTTTTGAAAAGACGACTTCTGCTCCTGAATCCCTCTCATCACCTCAAATTATAGGGCCCCAAAGTTTTTCCCGTGAAGGGTATCTTCTTTGTACCTTCAGCACATCCAAATAGGGGGACAGAATTTTGGTCATTGTGTCAAATAACTGAGTGGAGAAGAATAATTAGCAGGAGGCTGAAAGCTGAAGCTAGACAAATAATTGGAAGCCAGGCTCAAATTTTGTATGACTCCCCAAAATTTGGGGGGAAAGGAAATGCCTTAATCTCCGTGGCCTAACATTTTCAAGATGAAGACAGGATTTCTTTCAGGGAACTGTAATCTATCAAATGTTAAGGCTTTGGACTAAACAGAAGTGTAATTTCAAGACAAATCCTCCGGGTGAATTTTAATGGCTTGTTATATGCAGGTTAGTCTAAGTTCCTTATGAACTTAAGCTTTATGGATAAATATTTCTTAGCAAAACTCAAGGAGCCAATCCCATGAGCCAGCCAAAATAAAATGTATCAAGGCCAAACATGGAAAAACCAGAGAGCTCCCTAAGACCGAATCCTCTCAGTTCTCACTGCTGATTGATGAAAAACAATTCTGATCAATGTTTCTTTATCTGCTCTGTGAAACCTTTGTAGCCAGTAGGATTACATACAAAAACCAAAGTACAAAATCCATATCCAGGTTCCCATGAAAGTAAACAAGCAAAAAGGAGGAAATAAGGTCATTTTTTCATTGATTATAAAGAAAAGCCACTGGGGCAATGCTATCGAAGATAACCAATGAATATTTTTTAAATTAGAAAAAACAATGTTTTGATTAAGAAAAGTGGGGAAGTAACGTGTGACTTGCAGTGGCTAAGTCTCATGGGGGGTGGGGGGAATGGCTACAAGAGAATGATTCATTTATGACTGCCAGCACACAAAACTGTATCTGCAGGCACAGCTGACAAGGATATTCATACACTCATCTAACCGGTCTCCTGAAACACCGTGTGCTGGCAACGCGTGGCACAGCTTTGGGAAAGGAGGAAGAAATAGTGACAAGCTAAGGGCTGTATGCCTAATACTGCTTAAGCAAAGACTTAGCAACAACCAGGCAACTATGATGGTGCTCTGTTCTGGGACTCAGGAGAGAGACGCTCTAATTTGCTATTACACCCTAACTTGATGATCTTACTGCAGCTCAGTTTTTCTGCCTCCTTAATGGGAATCCACCAGTAGGAGCCCAGTGTAAGCGTAGGCTCTTCTATGCAGCTAAAGGCACAGCCTGCAACCTGGTGTGGCCCAGATGTGGAATTAAACATTTCTGACTAGGGACACAAAAAATTATACGTGGAATCTCCCCATTATGAGGCATTATGTCTGTTAACATGGCCTAATTCCTATAATATCTTCAGTTCCTTTTTTTTTAAACAAGGTGACAAGGTAACAGAATTGAGAAATAAATGAAGATTAAGTATGGGATGATCCAAAGTAACTGACGAGCACTGCCTGATTGAAGGCATAGCTGAGATGGATTGCTGAGAGTATTCCCCCATTACATATGTTGGACAGATAAAGAATTTGAATACAGAAGAAAGAAAAAAAAAAAAAAGAGTTACAGCTTTGGTAACTAGTATTTATCTAGTGAGATTTGTAAAGAAACTCTTGGCAATCAGTTAAACTGCCCTGTGGAATAGTTTAAAAGTCTTTAAAGTTGCATTTCAGTGTTAGCTCTTTGAATATACACTAAAACTATTTCATTGACTTTTAGTGGCAGATCTACAGCTCTAGATGTGACTTGCAATTCAGAGGGCCTAATATGTAAGTGTTTTCCAGTGCACATTCTTACAATAGTATGCTTTAAAACGGTTCAACTCAGAGGATAAAGTAAGCAGAGAACTGGTCTTCATGGCACTATTCCAGCACAGCTGAAATGAATTACAGCATTTCCAATGAAAGGCGTAACAAAGAAATAACAAAAAACCTTTTAAAACTAAGCAATTCTACCATGTGGGAAGGATTTGAGTGAGCATAGCTGAGGTGCATGAATTAGTAGCTCAGGTCCGATGGGTCAGCCTACAGGCAGTGTGGGCAAATAAAGTGAAGGACTGGAGAAACAGAAAGTTTTCCCAATGCATATCACAAAACAACATCAGAGAAGCAATTATTTAATTACTTTGCCCTGATAGATTTTCCAGTGATGTAAAGCCAGTTGTATAAAGCACTGATCCACCAGACCTGCAACAGAAAGACTTTCCAGATACTGCATTTTTTCCATGGCTGTGTATTGTCCAAATTGCATGTGTGTGTGTATGTGTGTGTGTGTACATGTATGTATCAAATTATTTTTTAAAATCTCATAAAGCATTTGAGATGATGGGATTCCATGTCATACTCTCTGAATATATACCAAAAAGGCTCAAGAGGCCTACATTAAGCAAAACTGTCAATGCCCCGATGATCTACTGGACAGCAGGCCACAGTCTTTTTTTCTAGAAAGTGAGAATTATAAATATTCTGTATTATGATAGTTATTAATCAATAGAACATTTTCTCTCAGTAATATCTGGATAAATTC